GAGAGAGAGACACACACACACACACACACACAGACACACACACTCACTCAGACACAGACACAGACACACACAGACAGACTCTCACTCTCACACTCACACTCGCTCACTCTCACTCTCACAGAGAGAGAGAGAGACACACACACACAGACACACACACTCACTCAGACACAGACACACACAGACAGACTCTCACTCTCACACTCACACTCACACTCGCTCACTCTCACTCTCACAGAGAGAGAGAGAGAGAGACACACACTCATACAAACACAAACACACACACACAGAGAGAGAGAGAGAGAGAGAGAGAGAGAGAGAGAGAGAGAGAGAGAGAGAGAGACATATACACACACACACACTCACACACAATCAGAAGTGTGTGCTGGAGTGAGAGGCGGTGAGCGGGGAGGTGCGGGCCCTGTGGCGCAGCTCGTCCATGGAGCCCACTGTTAGCCGCAGCATGGCGAGGACGTTGGCTCGGTAGCGAGCAGACATGATGTTATACAGCAGAGGATTCACAGCGGCGCTGACGTAAAACAGCACTAAAGACACCAGATTGAAATACTGACTGATGTAATACAGCTGATCGCTGGAGTGCGAGACCGAAAACAGCGTCCGGCTCACGTGGAACGGCAGCCAGCACAAGATGAACACCAGCACGATCACCACTGCAGAGAAAACAACACCGCTGTCCTTTACTTCACTACAGCATATGCTCTGATGCAAGGCTATTATACTTACCTAAAGCCAAAGCCATAAAAACTACTTGACATATATTAACTGAGATAAAATAAAACATAAGTTTAAACTTATTTTATTTCAGCTAGTTGCCAAGGTAACTAATTTTCATTTAGTTTACATTGATCTTACCTAGAATTTAACAAACTAAAATTAGAAAAATTAAAACTATATTTCATTTACAAAATACAAAAATGTATAAAAGCAATACTGTAGCTAATAAAAATGTAAAATTACAAAAAAATTGTTACTTGGATTTTTTTTTTTTTTAAATATATATAGAGCTTAACTTTAGCTTAAATTGATGTACCAAAAAAAATAGACATATTTAACAAAAACAGTTTTTGTTGCTTGGTATAGAATGTTAACTGAAATAAAACATATACACACACACACACACACACACACACTCTCACTCACACGCACACACTCTCTCTCACACGCACACACTCTCTCTCACACGCACACACTCTCTCTCACACGCACACACTCTCTCTCACACGCACACACTCTCTCTCACACGCACACACTCTCTCTCACACGCACACACTCTCTCTCACACGCACACACTCTCTCTCACACGCACACACTCTCCCTCTCACGCACACACACACTCTCTCTCACACACACTCGCTCACACACACTCGCTCACACACACTCTCACTCACACGCACACACTCTCACTCACACACTCTCTCTCACACGCACACACTCTCTCTCACACGCACACACACACTCTCACACGCACACACTCTCTCTCACACGCACACACTCTCTCTCACACGCACACACTCTCTCTCACACGCACACACTCTCTCTCACACGCACGCACACGCACTCGCACGCGCACGCACTCACACGCGCACACTCTCACACACGCACACTCACACACTCTCACACGCACGCACACACACGCACGCACACACACGCACACTCTCACACACACACTCTCACACACACACTCTCACACACACACACACACACTCTCACACACACACTCTCACACACACACACACTCTCACACACACACACACTCTCACACACACACTCTCACACACACACTCTCACACATACATAAGTGCTGTCAAACAATTAATCGAAAATAAAAGTTTTAGTTTAAATAATATATTTACGTGTACTGTGTTTATTATGTATATATAAATATACACACAGTATATTTTGGAAATATTTACATGTATATACATTTACATATTTATATTATTATATTATATATAAATATATTTTATAAACATAATACATTTTTCTTAAATATATACATGCACGTGTTTGTATTTACATACACATAATAAATATACACATTACACACTCATATATTATTAAAACTAAAACCTTTATTTTGGATGCGATTAATCACGATTAATTGTTAGACAGCATTAATATATATATATACACGCTAGCTGCCGAAGCAACTAGCTTTCATTTAATTTAATATGTAATAAAAACACAATACATTTAACAAAAACAATAACTAATAAAAAGACAAAAAAGTAACTCAAAATCAAATAAACGTTAAATGAAATAAAGAAAATAAATATATTTTTAAATTTCAGCTAGTTGCCAAAGAAAGTAATTTTAATTTAGTTTAACGTGACGTACTAAAATAAACTAAAATGCAAAAAAATACTAAAAACTATATAGATATATTTAACAAAAATAACAATGGCAAAACACACACAACTCCCTAAAACATTAAAATTTTAAATTTAAACAGAAAATACAAAAATAAAAATAACTCTTATTAAACATTTTTTTTACTATTATTAAAAAAAATAATAATTAAAAACTATAATACTACTATATATACTATAATAATAGTAGTCCTTTAAGGATCCAGAAAGTAACAGTATCATTACCCATAATGCTCACCCATCATGCGGAGGGTCTGGCGGTGTGTCTGGTCTCGGTGCGTGTGCGAGCGCAGGTGCAGGCGGCGAGCGATCAGGCCGTACAGGAGCGACAGCACGGTGAGCGGACAGATGAAGTAGAGATTGGAGAGCCACAGCATGGCTTTCAGAAGCCCGGAGGTCTGTGCGTACTGCGTGCAGCGGCACTCGCTGGCTCCGCCCTCAAACTGCTCCACCCCCACCAGTGCAAACACCGGCCCCGCGCTGAGCATGGCCACGCCCCACAGCCCCGCGATCAGTGCTCGGACACGCCCCCTGGTGACCAGCAGGCGCGCGCGGAGCGGGAAGCAGACGGCTAGGTATCGCTCCGCCCCCAGCGCCGTCATGTGCAGGATGGACGAGAACGTGCAACATTCTCCCACAAACATCGACAGCTTGCACACGGCGTCGCCTAGCAACCACGGACGAAACCGCCACAGCTACAAGAGCAAACGCCAACATACGTTAATACACGAACTACAAACACCAGGTCCATATTTGATTGTTTGGCTAGTAATGTTTAACACACAATACAAGACAAAATCAGATCGTAGCGAGACACATTCCGAGTAGCTACAGACGCTTCGACAAATTTCACACTTGATTGAGGTGTGAACTCTTTGGAAGCTTGTTTCTGCGACGGGATTAAAAAAATTAATTTAAAAAAGGTAATTTCGACTTCCTATCTTTTTTGCAAAATTCTATCTTGGGTTATAAACTCACGAGAGAAAAGTTAAAATTATGCGATAAAAAGTCGCAATTTTTTTTCGTGGCGGAAGCAAAGTCAGAATTGCGAGACGTAAACTCAGAATTTAGATATAAAGTCAGAATTGCAAGATTTCTGCGAAAAAAGTTGGAATTGTGAGAGACAAATTCGCAACTGATAGAAAATTTAAGAATTTTAAATAAAAAATTTTTTTTAAATAAAAAGTCGCAATTACAATTGTTTTTTCGGTGAAATCAAAAAAAGTCAAAATCGCAAGATATAAACTTGCAAATCTTAGGAAAAAAAGTCAGAATTGCAATAGTCTCACTATTCCGAGTTACAATTCTGACTTTTTTCCTACGATGTGCGATTTTGACTTTATACGAGAAAATCAGAATTGAGAAAAAGTTGCGATTACCTTTTGTTTTTGTTTTTTTATCCCGTGCAGGAAACAAAGTCAGAATTGTGAGATGTAAATTTGTACTGTCAGACACAAATTCGCAATTGTGGAAAAAAAAAGTTACGAATTGTGCATGACATTAAAATAAACGAATTGCAAGATTTTTTTTTTATCGCAATACAGACTATTTTTCTGAGATTTGCGATTTTATATTATATTAAGTTTGCAACATTATATGAGAAATTAGAATTGAAAAAATAAAAAAAATAAAATAAAATCGCAATTACCTTTTATTGTTTGTTTTGTTTTTTTACTTCCGTGGTGGAAACAAATTCAAAGTGGCAAGAGATGCAAACTCCGGAAAAAAAAGTTACGAATTGTGCATGACATTAAAATAAACGAATTGCAATATTTTTTTTTTATCGCAATACAGACTATTTTTCTGAGATTTGCGATTTTATATTATATTAAGTTTGCAACATTATATGAGAAATTAGAATTGAAAAAAAAATTAAATAAAATAAAATCGCATTTACCTTTTATTGTTTGTTTTGTTTTTTTACTTCCGTGGTGGAAACAAATTCAAAGTGGCAAGAGATGCAAACTCAGAGTTCAGAGAAAAAAACTAGCATTTTTGAGAAGAAAAAGATAAAAAATTACCTTTTTTATTCTGAGGTGGAAACAACAAAACAGATATAAACAGAATAGAAGTCAGAACTGCTTAATATGAACTCATAAATGTGAGAATCTCTCGCAATTTTGAATTTATATCTCATAATAATTCAGGCTTTTTTCCTAAGATTTACGAGTTTGTAAATCTTGTAAATAAAGAAAAAAGTCGTAATTGCTTTTTTCACAATTCATCAGAATTCAGATGTTTTTAAAGATATAAACTCACAATTCCGAGATAAAACGTCAGAATTATGAGATATATTAAATGAAAAATTTTTTCAAAAATTTTCCTCAAATTCTGAATTTTATGAATATCGCAATTCGGAATTTTGTTCTTGCCACTTTGAGTTTATATCTCGCATCCGCCACGGAATTTAAAAAAACGTATTTTTCCTCGCGATTCTGACTTTCTTTTCACGATTGCGAGTCGATGTTGCAATTAGGGTCGCAAAAAGGTGGAAAACTTCCAGTAAATTTCGAAAAATATTCCAGAAATTTTGGAAAATTTCCAGGATTTTTTTTTATTTTTTATGAAAATTCCAAGAATGTTTGGAAAGTTTCCGGAAATCTCCCACCCATTTTTGCAACCCCAGTTGCAATTCTGACGTTCTTCCTCAGAGTTGCAAGAATGTGAGATATAAAAAAAACAATACTAATATCGTATGCCTACACACACACGTACAGAAACCGACAGAACTTAATGATATGCAAATGACCAGCAACAAGTCGCTATGGCAACCAATGCTGATCTGTCACATGATACAGCTGGCGACATGCAAGCGTTTTTAACAAGCACGTCAACCCTCGATTACCTTATAGAGGTCCAGAGGCATCAGCAGCAGAATGAGGATGTCTGATAAGGCCATGCTGCTCAGGTACAGGTAGGTGGTGCTTCTCATTTGTGGGCGTCGCCACACCACCAGAATGGTCAGGGCGTTTCCCAGCAGGCCGAGCAGCAGCAGCGGCACACACAGCGTCGTTAACACCACCAGCTCGGTGTCGGTGAAGAGCGACTGGTCTTCCCAGTCCGATCGGTTCCCGCAGCAACCAGAACCAGAACCCTCCAGCACATCCATGTCTCTGGAAGAGAGCTCAGAGCCCCCACGGCTCCTTCATCTTCACAGAGCTGCAGGACGGTTATTGAATGTGCTCCTGTTCTGTGCCGCCCACCGCTGGAGATCCGTGCCACCTCCAGCAGCACAGGAACAGATCGATCACACTCAGAGGAACACACAGTGATGGTCAATCTGACTCAAACCGTCCGTCCCTGCTCACAGCTCACCTCTACAGCAAACATACGAAACACTCAGACAATAAGAAACACCACGGAAGCTACATCATGTATTATTCTTAGTGAATGCTGATCGCAACATTTACAAACACATCGGAATGAAAACTTGTCAAAATGAATAAATACTGTTACAAATGTTACAAACTGCTTGTTACGTAATGCTTACCACAAAGATACGTGCATGAAACCTACGTCATTTTAATATTTCATGACCGTTGAGAACATTCAAACCCATCCCAATGAATAAAAATCTAATTTTGTATTATATTTACGCCATAAAAAGTATTTGAATCGTGTACATTTAGATGTAAAGTACAGTGCGTATGAACTAAAGTAGCATTTTTGTATCACATGAAGTATGATGTGAAACGTAATTCAACAAATTATAAAAAATATAATACTTTTATTACAGTAATGCCTTAAAAAATTACATTTGCATGTAAAGTACAGTAAGAATAAACTATACTAGTGCTATTTGTAGCACTGTATAATTAGTTAATATGAACTACCTAAGAAAAAATATGCATTATTCTTAGTTAATTTCAACATTTACTAACGCGTTATTAAAATCATAAGTTGCATCTGTTGTTATTATTTAATGGACCCGAGCGAACACAAACGAGCATTAATAAAAATGAATAAATACTGTAAGAAATGTACTGCTCATTGTTCGTTAATGCATTAACTAACGTTAACTAATGGGATTGTTACCAAAAATATGAATAGTATATGTAGCATGAAATGAAACTTTATGACATTTAGATTTCGTTTGCATTGTTTTCATGACATTTATTTTAATTTATTTAATTGAATTAAGACTTTACTTGAAGCCTTTATGTATAATGCATTATAAAAATATTAATACCTTTTTTTTAATAAATAATTGTAACTAAAATTGCAAAAGATAAGTATTATAATAACTAGTTATGATTATTCATGAGATCATACAATGCATTATAAGGTGCATTATTACATGGTATAATTAATGCATTAAAAATAGTGAATATAGGCTAATTACAGAGGTGTTAATGAGCATAATTATGAAAAGTCACAATGCAAAAAATTATAATGATTCTCAAATTTCTTCATGTAAAATACAATTTCTTCTCCTTTGATTTAGTGTGAATTATGGCAGATTTTTTCCCGAGCAGAGAAATCAGCTCATGATGTCTGTGCTCTTGTTGACTCACGGTAATTAATTTGTGGATTGATTGTTTTAACGAGAAACCCCGGTGAACGTTAAGCTGCTGTGCAGAAGATGTCCTCGAGCAAGAGTGTGTTCGTACATTCACTCAGTGCCAATATATTGTTTAAATAATCACAGATTTATTGCTATTATATTAATTCACGTGAAGCTAAAAAACAATACATTAATAATATACAATAAAGCTTACAATATGAATGACACAGAGACAGTCATCAACCAATCAAAGCAGACATTTTATCTTCTACACACACATGCACTCATGCACACACACTCACACACACACACACACACACACGCACGCACGCACGCACGCACACACACTCACACACACACATAAATACACTCTCACACACACACACACACACTCACACATAAACACGCACACACACACACACATAAATACACTCTCACACACACACACACACACTCACACATAAACACGCACACACACACACACATAAATACACTCTCACACACACACACACACACTTACACTCACACACACACACACACGCGCGCGCACACTCACACACGCACTCATGCACACACACTCACACACAAATACACTCTCACACACACACACACACACACTTACACTCACACACACATATACACTCACACACACACATAAATACACTCACACACACACACACACACACACACACACACACACACACTCACACACACATATACACTCACACACACACATAAATACACTCACACACACACACACACACACACACACACACACACACACACTCTTATAAATACACACACACATTTACACTCACACACATACGCGCGCGCACACTCACACACGCACTCATGCACACACACACACACACACACTTACACTCACACATAGACACTCACACACACGCGCGCGCGCGCACACTCACACACGCACTCATGCACACACACACACACACACACTTACACTCACACATAGACACTCACACACACGCGCGCGCGCGCACACTCACACACGCACTCATGCACACACACACACACACACACTTACACTCACACAGACACACACACACTTACACTCACACAGACACACACACACACACTTACACTGACACACACTCACTTACACTCACACAGACACACACACACACACTTACACTCACACACACACACACTCACTCAAAGAAGTATCACAGGTTCCACAAAAATGAAGACTGGAGAAAAGATGCTGAAAATTCAGCTTTGATCACAGGAATAAATTATATTTTGAAATACATTAAAATAGAAAACCATTATTTTAAATTGCAGTAATATTTCACAATATTACTGTTTTTTTGGTCAAATAAATGCAGCCTTGATGAGCAGAAGAGACTT